TCTTTTTTTTTTTTTTTTTTTTTTTTTTTACTTAGAGACAGATATATACAGTGCTGTTGTAATAATGAAACAAATGTGAAATCTACTGTAAAGTTGCACAATACAGAAAACTGTTGCTCCATCTTCTACTACATACATGTGTGACTCCACAGGTTAATTAATGCTGCTTTGTTTCTTTTTGTTAAGTTGGAATTATTCCATCACGTCTAAGACCTCTTTTCAGTTCCAAATCTTCCAGTTTCTTCCATAGCTCTTCACGTTCTTTCTCTTTTTTCTTCTCACTAGCAAAATAAAAAATAAAATTAATGGCAAGATTTAGAGGTAAATAATGCACTAAGTATCCAATTTTCTCTGAAAAATTCTAAGACTGAACATAAAAAGAGAAACTTCATAGTAATGTCATGGATTTAAACAAGAATACAAGCAAGTGGTGCCTTGTAATATCCAGTTATTTCAAGTCTGAAAGTTGCAATATTGGCAACTCTAGTCCCATAACTTATTTGAATTTCTTAACCGTTAAACGAAAATGAGCTTTAGATAATAAAATAAAAATTGCTAAAAGTTAACAAAATGAAACTATGTATCAAGTATATACTGTGGATTTTTTAAAAGAGAGGAGGAGTTTGTTATAACTGCTGCATTTAAAGGCCTTCAAACCTATACTGTGTTTAGTATATCTCTTCACTGAGAAGTCAACATCACACATAAAGTCTAGTATAAACCTGCATCAGAGGAGTACATTTCATCTCTAAGAATTATTCTGTTTTTATTCTCTCCTTACTTATACATTCTTATGTTTAATTATTTATGAAAACAACTATTAGTATTAGTTTTCACATTTAATTGTAATTGAATGGTTATCAAAATTTTTGAGCCCAGCTTTTCACAAAACAGGAACTGCTATTTTAGATTTGTATTTCTCCAGTTTGCGACCTCTGTAACTACTTCATTTTCCATTTTTCAGAATCCAAATAATCTACCATCTAATTCTGTTTTTTGTAATGCCCTAGAGTGACTAAAAATAATACATACCAAACACATGTAGAAACTATAGTATTGTGAATTCATGAACAATCTGAAATTCTAGAACTCTTCTTTTAATAAAAGCCAAAGCAAAAACAAAAGGCCTCACTCTCTACTAAATTGTACCCTATAGCTGATCAAGGTTTTCTGTATTTATAAGAATCATGTTGCTATTAAGTGCCTGGTTCTAAAGAATATTGTGGTTGGATTTGTAATAATTGAAATTGGCTTTATTTTAAAAAAAGAAAAAAACAAACTATACCAGTGAAGAATCATTAAGTTATAAAATAAATAATTTTCTGGATTATTATATAAAAATCATAGCTTTAAAATGTATTTGATGGAAAATTGGTGAAATTATATTTTGACAATCTGTGTTTATCAAATACAAGATTCCAGCAGAGATGCCAAAAACATGATCAGTGCATGCTTAATATCCAAGGTTGTATAATTTCTCAATGAATATGAATCATGTTTACAAAAAGATTCATATTATGTCACATTAGTAGCATCCTTCTTATATGAGTTTTCCTAGAAATTCCCGAACATTATATATTCTGTCTATTTTAAAGAAAAAGTTAATAAGCAAGCATAATTTAGAATCAATTGGTCTATACTAGGAGGCATAAAGTGTACATAAAACTAAGGGCACCTAGTACCCCACCACATTTCATATTTTTAAATTTTAAAAAAATAAATAAGCAGTGAGCTATGAGAGACTGGTGTTCGAATTAAACAACATTGTGGCCTCCAAAAATATGTGAGAGGCTATACTAACCTAACAAGGCTTGATGACATACAGTACCCTTCGCTTTGCTTGTGGGAACCCCAAGTCTCACAAAAGAAACGACTTTCACCAAGTCGCAAACTGCCCAGAGTTCCCGAAGTTTCCTCATTAGTTTCACCTGCTGCTTTGGATAAGCTGAAATTTCAGACAAAAGATGAACTATAATTGGAGAAGGATTATTAAGAAAAAGACAGAGAAACATTTTATCTAGGGTGCAACTAATGATTGTATGAATGGCACTTCTTCTAGATCCTGCAATGTCAAAGCCTTGGATGTATCAAGATAACAGAAGCAGAAAGGCAGGACTGAAAATGTGTCACTTTGCTCAGAGATTTCAGTAAATGATCAGGTAGAAGTCACAAGGGTTAGTGTCAAATGCTTTCTCACCCCACCAAAAAGTCAAGTATATTCTGAACACTATCTTCAAGCAAAGTGATGGTTAAATTGTTGAGGGTTTTGTTTTGGTTTGGTTTGGTAACTGTATGGTTTTATTAGACCAAAATTCTTGATACATGTAAGTCTTTAAGAACATAGAGCCAAAAGAAGTTCTGTGAGGAATGCAAGTTCACAAGCTACGCAATGGGTACTGTATCTCATAAAGGGGGAAAAAACAACCATCTATGTCTTGCAAGGGCCAGGCTAATGAGCATGCAGGGGGAAAAATGAGGCATTGCAATCAATTGTGTGTGAAAAGTATGCAATTACTGCAAAGAAGGGAGGGGAGG